ATAGGGTATTTTTGCAATCCAAGTACAGTACCACGAGGGAGAGGGTGGTGGTGGGTGTCTGTAAAGCGCAGATTTGGAAATAGTTCGATTTGATCTTTCATTCTCCCCCCCAAAAAAATACACTATTTCAGCTGCAATCCCAACCGATTGCTCAGACCTTTCTGTGCAGCCTCCCAGCACCCAGCACCCAGTCCTGTCTCTGCTCTGACGATCACTTTCCACCCACATCTCAATGGCAGCAGTGTGAGAAAGGAACAACGCTGTGCTTTTAGAAGAAGAAAAGAAACACAGCAGAGCAAACTGTTACCTTTTCCAGTGGCCTGACCTGGAGCTCACCCTTTAATAACAATGACAGTAACACGAATCAGAGCTTATCAGCCCAATCTGCTGTGTTATTTTCTCTCTCGCTAGGAATAGAGCCAACACAAACTTAAAACGCTCTTTTTGATTTCTTTTCAAAATAACCACACGGGAAACTGTCTTAAGTCCATCTCTTTGTTCGCTGCCCTGTAGGAATTTGTTGTAATGTTTCTCCCCACCCCCCCTCTCCCTCCCTCTCTCTCTCTTGCTACTGTTATCAGGGACTTTGATCTTTGGCGATCTTTGAGTCAATTTCCCACCCCCCGCCCCGAGAAGGCGCACGTGTGATCAGCATTCACCAAAGCGCACGGCTACGACCAAAGAAGCACGATCTCCTTCGGGGCAGATTGGGAGGAAGCACATCCCCACAACGCCCGGCTCCCAATCGAGCTTCCAGAGAACCGTGAGACCTGACTCCGCTGTTCCCTCGTTACACCGGTCCATTTCCCAGTGCCAGACCCACACACCGCAGGGTGAGCTGCCCCATCTGCTGTGTTATGTTCTCTCTTGTTGAGACCCAATTGTCAGTGCAGTCAGACGCAGAGCCACGGTTAACACCATTACGAGCAAAAGGTTCCAGATAACTACGGCTGATAAAACGTTAACCATTCAACACAAAAGATATATAATTTTTAAAATAATCTCACATGCATTAAATGTAGAAGCGTTAAATAAAAAGGGAACAGCATGACATGATTTGCGCATTTGCACACAAAGTTCTTACTCTGTAACTCTGCAGAATGCAATGCGTTATGTGATTTGCATAACACTTTTCTCTGTATCAGCATCTTTAAAAAGGTGGAACTAAACTCCCAGCAAAATACAGCCTATAATTGGCCAATACAAAAATCTCATAACTCCCGAGGGACGCGGGTCCTGTGTGGATTTGAGATGTCCAGGCATTAGTAATGAGATTTCAGGTACATCCACTATTATCTCTTCCCCTTCACGAAATGTGATTCTTATTCAACATGTTAGATCGCCCAGAAAATATACAGTCAATTTACTTTACAGTGTGTTCTGTGAAGCACTGTGAGACGTCTCAAAGACGTGATCAGGTGATATATGAAATGCAAGAATTATTATTATCTATCACCTTACCTCGAACTGATTCTATAGAAAAAAAATTGCAATCATGTTGACCTTTATTTCTAAACCGTATATCATTACCTGCCACTATCCAGAAACATATAGAGGTGAACACCTTTTTATCTTTTTAAAAAAAATTATACATAATTTTTGAAATTATTTTGTAAATTATGAAGAAGTAGCTTTATTAGTGTGATGAGTGAACACATCTTTAACTTGATGTAAAATGATATTTCTCAACTCTTCTGTGGTCTATTTCCTTCCGCAATGCAATACAAATGCTGAATTCACAGCAAATGGCAGCAACAATAAATAATATTTGATTTTATTATAGAGCCTTTCCTGTAGGCGAGGACATCTCAGAGTGCTTCACAGGATTTACTGTACTGTACACTAAGTGTAGTGACTGTATATCTTGTCAGGGAGCCAATTTGCACACAGCAATGTCGGACTAATTGTATCTGCAGGATTATTGGCCAGGACACCGTGAGATATTCCTTCCGCTGTCTTACGTTAAGGCAAGTACTGTGAACATTAAGATAGATCTACACCTAATGCTAATATATGTATGTGTACTGTATTGTGCTCGAGTCCTGTTTGCTACCTTTAGCCACAACAGCCTTGTCGGTAAACATAAATTTTTCCACCGTTATCAAAATAAAATAAATTTCTGCACTAGTTTGAGTCTAGAAATAAATGTAACAGGTCACCTTAATTCATCTCTTTTGTGCGTGCAAAGTTCAATCCAATCCTTGGGAGAAACGGATGGGTTTTGTTTTGGTCATATGGTAAGAGGCAGACAAGTGGATTGAATTGTAACTGGATGGATTCGACAAGAGAAGAGGGGAAATAAACCAGCATGAAGTCCAATAATAATATTATTATTATTATTATTATTATTATTATGCATCCAGCCAGACACTGTGCAGACAAGGTCAGGGTGTGGCAATGGAGTGCGAAATGCGCCATCCAGCGGTGGCGTTATGGCTGCAGTGTAGAAACTGTGTGCGGCCCATTGGAGAACTGTTTTTTTTTACTCAACACGACCAGTCAGCCTCTCATGCAGGCATTGGGAACAATAATTGAGAAGGAGGAGGAGGAGGAGGAGGAGGGAAGAACAACACGCACAAATAAAAACAGTCGCCTTCTCAGATTAATAGCAACCGCATCGTTTGTGTCCTACCAGAGTACACACAATCTGTCAGCACATCTGTGTACACATGAATGCGTTTTATTTTGTCGCTGCATCAGCAGCAACTATTACCCTCTCCCGTCCTATACAGAGACAGTGTTTCAATCAATGCAGGTGCTTTTCTGGGCTTTCTCTGTGCCAACCTTCCCTTCCTGGTATCTCTTGCAGTGTTTTCCTATGTAAACTACAGCCTTACGTGTGTATCCAGGCACAGTGCGCAAAAATAGGCAATTTCGTTCTAAGTATATTGGTTTGATTTGCTGCGTTTCATTTGAGAACACTGTGCAGTGCTCTGAAGAAGGGAGACTATTATTGCTGGAGTGTAGGATACCGAACATTTAGTCTATGGATCCAGTGACACCCATAATATCAGTAGTCCCAGACCAAGTGCAGTCTGGATTAGATTCAGAACAAAAACACTTTTCCAACTGTGATCGTCAAGCCCAATAAAAACGGCACTCACAATGTTTTGTTTTCTCTCTGCCTCACTCTGCCCCTGTACCATTTTGCTGAATAAAGCCACGGAGCACATCCGCTAAGAATTTGATTGAACCTGAGTTGGAGAGGAGACGTCCACCCAATCGCCCCACCGCCCACCCCATTTATTGGGCTGAACTGCATTAAAACTCAGAGCCCAGATATGAAAGGCTACTGTCAGAACTGCTGTCCACGTATCACTGCTTTTCTTTTGTTACAACCGGGAGTTTCAGAAGTCAAATATACTGTTGATTTTAATACATGAAAAGGGGGACCTTTCTTCGATGTTTGAAAAAGAATAAATGATAGGTGTACCACACCAACAACAACTTGCATTACATTGCCCTTTGTGTGCAGAACAGTGTCTGCTGTAAATGGTTCGAGCTCAAGACGAATGTGGACAAATTGTTTGAGATTTTGATTTGTCCTAATGGAAATATATACGATTTACGATTTCCAAGCCATTCTAATAACATAATAATCCATGCATTTTGATGTAGCGCCTTTAACGTCGAGCCCCTATCAACGTTTTTTTCTGTAAAGTGTAGTGACTGTGTATTTTTAGGCAAACTTATTCGCTGGTTCATTCCACCTGCTCCAAAAAAAAAATCCAACTTGCCATTAGCCTTACTGTGTTCGCAAACCAGAAACATTTAAAATAAAATGTGGCAATTCTCATGTTGTAGGTGAAATGAACCCCATCCGCTCTGAAATCGTGGTTTTGGCTATTTGTGTGTTTTTTTTAAAAAAAAGCATAAATGAAAAGTACAGTATTTGGAGAATTTGTAAATATGCTTTAACTGTAATTTGAAATGTTTTTAAATCGACGCGAATTCGTTGAACAAATAAACATCGGGAAATACAGTTTGCAGCCTGTACGCCTCTTCATAACCAACAGCAAAATACTTCACAGCTAAAACATATATGACTTTGAAACGGACTTAAAATGTGAAAAGTGCTCCCGAAACGCGAAGTTGTATCGTTTTCTTGCAGGATTTCCTCTTACAGAATTACCTTGGAGCAATTGATATTAAAATTCGAGGACTAATAGATAGTGTTTTTTTTGTTATAGTCAATATTAAGTTACTACACAGATAGTGCTGTTACAGTCCGCAACGTACTGCTATGCCGTTATACTCCACAAATATACAATTTGTCGACAGTATTATAGTCCATCTTTCTCGGTTGTCATTGCGGTTCAGTTTGGCATCAAAACGTTGACGTTAAACACGGATATTGACACAGAAAGAGGGGAAAGGGAGGCTCTGCTCTGCTGGATCGCGGTGTGTGTCTGTGTATTTTCAATAAATATAAACAATTCGTATTTACAAGACCCGTCTCGTCTGAACGAGTTGACGAGAGTGGAAATATTATTCTGGTCATTCTCAGGCTGACCACTGACTGGGTTTCAGATTGACGCGAAGCCCTCGAAAAATTAAAACCACTGGTTTGCAAAACGGTGCCCCAGTCATAAAAAATATATAACTTTCAATCACCCAACAGTGGCTTTTGAAAGAAGGAACATTCATGCTGTACTGGCAAAGGAAATTCCAGCTGCAGTTTATCCTCATGAACAGAGATCAATTTACCCGTTACACAGAAACCAGGAGATCCGTGGAATGATATGCATTCCTAATATACCAATTGGCTACAAAATAAGCAACACAAATAAATAAAACATTTAGAACATATGTTATGTAAGCAATGGGTTGGCAATGCATCAGATAGTTTACCGGTAGGGAAAGCAGTAGAAATAGTGTACAGGTTTATTGCCATCGTTTGGGATTTCCTGTTTATTTCTGTTGCTATTTATTTAACAGGGTAGAGTGATGCAAAATGACCTCTGATCGAGTGCAACATTTTAAATGTGATGTGTAATGAAAATGCAATACGCTTCATAAAGGAAAATATAGCAATTCTCTGTTTCAAAACGCATCAGCAACAAAGAAGGCAGAGGAGAAAATATCGTTGTCAAGCACTTTCCGCCGTCCAGCTGCACATTGACATTCTGCAGAATAAAACGGTCTTATCTATGAATTGGGGTCGTGTGTGTGTTTCTTTTAAAAGAACACGAAGACTTTCCAATGCTGCACTTTAACTCGTGTTAAACGTCGGTAATTGCCTGCAAAGGTAGAGAAAGCAGAGAAGTATAAAAAACAGTAAGTATTGTTCAGATGCAATATTTCCTTTCATCAGAATTTCACATTTTAACCATGTTTGGACATAACCGACATGGTATTGGTTTCTATTGAATTGTTTTGTTTTCTTTCAGGACAGGTTAGGTTAGAAGCTGGGGAAGGTGGGGGTCATCTATTCTCTGTGATAACTATCCCCCCCCAAAAAAAAAAAAAAATCACTAGATGTTAAATTGTCACTTCGATGAGGGCTTTAAGTACAGTGAAGAAAAAAATGAAATGACCTGCACTGGAATTTGGTGCTGGGTGGAGAATTATTTGTGGATCTACTGTACATTTACCTGGGTTAAATGCAAGGGATTTATATATTTTGGCAGGAATCAAGTGCTGTAAAGCAAACAAATATCGACTGGCTACAGTAAAACTTCACGAGAAAAAGCTTCCCACAAGGAATATTTTCTGCTGCAATGAACTCGCTGTTCGTCGTGCTTCCAACCCACCCAGGGTGACAAAAAAAATTAACCTTTTCTCCGTTAAGAAATTAGATTGAAACTTTTCCCCCCAAATCATCCAAAACCCGAATACCGGAGTTTTAAAGAAATCTAAGCAAATACACATAAGTTGGCGAGGGAAAGAAACACGCAAGTTGGTTTGGGAGCTCTCGGTGTTTCGGAGACTTTCACGTTTTATTGTGCGTCCCTATTTGTTTTGACAGCAATCGGGGACAAGATTATATTGGAATTGGAGATGCGTTAAACTCTTGAAGAGAGACAGTGTAAGGATTTCCTGATGGACTGACTGTCTGTCAGCGTGCACACGCCATCACCAACCCAGGGAGTCAAGCCACTTGAGGATCTTAAAGGAAGCGACCCTGTATAGGCAGGGCAGGGAATCAATCTCTCTGGGGGGAAAAAAACACGAGTGTGTCCTTAAAAAATAAGGAATCGTCTGTGTGCCCTTTCATAGAGAGAGGGGGGGGGGGGGGGGGGGAGGGGGCGATGCAATCAATTAATAAATAAAATATGTCGGGTTGCACGTTATCCCCAATGTTGTTGTCACTGCCCGTGAACATTGGAAACCACAATAAAAAACGAAGCGGGTTCTGGCATTGGCAATGTGTGTTATAACATTGCAAACCCAAATAGTTGGACAGAAATGTGAAATTCCTTCTGGTTTCTATTGCGTTTTGGAAGTGCACAGAGAGAGAGAGAGAGAGAGAGAGGTGGTGGGGGGGGGGGGGGGGGGGGGGGGGGGGGGGAGGGGTTGGGGGGAAGAGAGAAAGAGCAAGGGGTGAAAAGAAGATAGGGTTTAATGTCTGGGTGACTATTTCAGTGATTGATGGACCAGAGTTGAACTCGGGTAAGTGAGTTCCTGTGCTGCTTGGAAAGGTCGAGGTTATTGATAGCGTTCAACACCGACTGTGAGGAGATTCTGAATCCAGACAAATTAATGCGCTTCGGAATTGCTTGGGTTTACATTCAACACACAAAAAAAACGGGGAGGGAGGACAGTTCTGTACACAAGTAAGAGGTATGTGTCCCACCAACCATCCTGGGTTATCGAACTAAAACAAAACGATATTTTCCCCCTATGCAAACAGAAAACCGAATTTGTTTGCATATGATAAGTTATTTCTCTCAACACAAACACGCAAAGGAAGATTAAATAGTATTCCAGCTTTGGCGTGTGTGTGTGTGTGTCTAAAACCTGGAAACTGTTAGGAGAGATGAAGTTGTGTGTGTAATATATATATGTGTTTTTAAAAACTGACAATTTTAAAGCACAGATCAGGTAGTTGTAAAAATAAATCGGGAATATAATTGTGTAAAAGTGTTAGCGATTTCTGCTTCAGGACCATATATTTTTCGACGTATTTGACAGCAAACCTGGCCACAACTCCTGCTCTCTCTGCAATAAGATCTGCTGTTTATGTGCAATCTGAGACTTAGTTTATCGAAGTCAATTAATTAGATGCTTTCTTATGGGGAAAACACTGGTGACTAGTAGTCGATTTTTTGTGTCTCAGTTGCAAGCACCACACAGATTGCCATTTTCTTGCATTCGGCATCATTTTAATCCAATTCCTCTCAGACAATTCACCTCGTAAAAGGTCAGTGTTTATGTTTTGTTTAAACTACGTTTGTCGGAACCTGATCTTGACAACTCTTGAGTTTCACTCAGACTGAAATGTCACCACACTAACGACAAACAACAACTCTCGAAAGAGAAGGAGAGTCCCTTTCATTT